TTAAAAATATAATTGGCCAGGAAAGGAGTAAACACCTCGCCCCTTATCATACCACCTTGGGAGAACTGAAAATTTGCAGGTCCCTACAAGTATCTCTGAAAACAGCCGTACAAACCCCTGAAGCTTGGGACAGTACATTCTCCACATTGGAAGCAGACTTTTACTTTAACAAAGAGTTTAAAACTCAAGTAATTGGCCAGGATCATGAGCAAGCAGCACAAAAAGAATCAGACTGTATTATCTTACTTTGGTGAAAAAGAAGATCAAAATATACAACCAGAAGAAGACAATAAAGTCAAAGCTCCTACATCCAAAGCCTCCAAGAAAAATATGAATCAGTCCCAGGCCTTGGAAGAGCTCAAAAGGGATTTTGAGAAGTAAGTAAGAGAAGTAGAGGAAAAACTGGGAAGAGAAATGAGAGTGATGCAAGAAAATAATGAAAAACAAGTCAACAGCTTGCTAAAGGAGACCCAAAAAAAAATAATGAAGAAAATAACATCTTAAAAAATAGCCTAACCCAAATGGCAAGAGTGGTCCAAAAAGCCAATGAGGAGAAAAATGCCCTAGAAAGAAAAATTGGCCAAATGGAAAAGGAAGTCCAAAAGATTACTGAAGAAAATACTTCCTTAAGAATTAGAATAGAGCAATTGGAAGCTAGTGACTTTGTGAGAAATCAAGACACTGTAAAACAAATCCAAAAGAATGAAAAATTAGGAAACAATGTGAAATATCTCATTGGAAAAACAACTGACCTGGAAAATAGATCCAGGAGAGAGAATTTAAAAATTATTGGACTATCTGAAAGCCATGATCAAAAAAAGAGCCTAGACATCATCTTTCAAGAAATTATCAAGGAAAACTGCCCTGATATTTTAGAACCAGAGGGCAAAATAGAAATTGAAAGAATCTACTGATCTCCTCCTGAAAGAGATCCCCAAAGGAAAACTCCTAGGAATATTATAGCCAAATTCCAGAGTTCCCAGGTCAAGGAGAAAATATTACAAGCTCCAGAAAGAAACAATTCAAGTACTGTGGAAACATAATCAGGATAACACAAGATTTAGCATTTCTACATTAAAGGACCACAGGGCATGGAATATAATATTCCAGAGGGCAAAGGAGATAGGATTACAACCAAGAATCACCTACCCAGCAAAACTGAGCATAATCCTTCAGGGAAAAAATGGTCATTCAGTGAAATAGAGGATTTTCAAGCATTCTTGATGAAAAGACCAGAGCTGAATAGAAAATTTGACTTTCAATTACAGGACTCAAGTGGAACATGAAGAGGTAAACAGGAAGAGAAATCATAAGAGACTTATTAAGTTGAACTGTTTACATTCCTGCATGGAAAATGACATTTATAACTCATGAGACCTTTGTCAGTATTCGGGTAGTTGGAGGAAAAAATTATGTATGTATGTGTATATAGATAGAGGGCACAGGGTGAGATGAAGATTAAGGGGTCATATCTGGAGAATAAAATTAAGGGATGAGAGAGGATTATACTCGGAGAAGAAGAAAGGGAGAGGTAGAATGGGGTGAATTATTTCACAAAAAAAAAACAGAAAAGAAAAGTCTCATACAGTGGAGGGGAAACGGGGGAAAGTGAGAGGGAATGAGTGAATCTTATTCTCATAGAATTTGGCTTAAGGAGAAAATAACATACACATTCAATTGGGTATGGAAATCTGTCTTACCCTACAGGAAAATAGGGGAGGAAGGGGACAAGAGAGCAGGGGGATGATAGAGAGGAGGGCAGATTGGGAAAGGGGGTAATCAGAAGTAAATACTTCTGAGGAGGGACAGGGTCAAAAGAAAGAATAGAATAAATGGGAGGGCAGGATAGGATTAAGGGAAATAGAGTTAGTTTTTCACAACATGTCTACTATGGACGTGTTTTGCATAACTGCACATGTACAACCTATATTGAGTTGCTTGCCTTTTCAATGAGGGTGGGTGGGGAGGGAGAAAGAGAGAAAATTTGAAATCTAAAGTTTTAAAAACATGTGTTTAAAAAAAACGTTTTCCCATGCTACTGGAAAATAAGAAATATAGGAGATGGGGTACAGAAGTCTATCCTACCCTGCAGGAAAATAGAAGGGGAAGGGGATAAGAGAAGGGGGAAATGTTGAAAACTAAAAATAAATAAATTTATGTTTTAAAAAAATACCATTGGCCAATTGAAGAAGGAAGTACAAAAACTAACAGAAGAAAAGAGAGTTCAAGGGGTCCATGAACTTGAATAGGAAAAAATTTATACTTTTGCTCTCATTAACTTTTGGTTTCCTTTGAAATCCTATGTGTTATATTTTATGTATTTAAAAACATATTATTATGTATTTAAAAACACAATTCTTAGAAGGAGACCTTGGGTTGTATCAGACTGTTAAAGGGGTCCCTGACACAAAACAAATTAAGAATTTCTATAATAGAGATATATCATTTCGGGTATAATCTTTTTGTCTTCTACTGTGTATATGGAAATGCTTATTTTATTTGGAGTTTGTTGAGTGCAGAATTAAAAACAAAGCAACAAACCTCCTAGAAGGAAAAAAATGGACTGCCATCTGGCATGGTCATTTTATGCATGAAGAATTGACAACCTATAGTAGAATAAAAAGTACCAAATTTGTAGTTAGATTCATAGATTCAAATCCTCACCCTTTTTGTACTGTGTGATCTTGGGTACACTGGTTAATTTCTCTGTTACTAGTTTCCTTTAAAGAGAAGGGGCTTTAGGGGCAGCTAGATGGCCCAGTGGATAGAGCTCTGGCCTTGGAGTCAGGAGGACCTGAGTTCAAATTCAGCCTCAGACACTTGACACTGGCTGTGTGACCCTGGGCAAGTCACTTAACCCCAATTGCCTCACCAAAAAACAGAGAGAGAGAGAGAGAGAGAGAGAGAGAGAGAGAGAGAGAGAGAGAGAGAGAGAGGGAGGCGGCTTTATTCCCTTGAGGAATATGCAGTGTAGTTAAGAATACTAGACTAACACAAGTTAAATATTATGAAATGATCAAGGTAATAAATAATGCAGTCCTCAAGCATGTGAGATAGAAAATGAGTGCTGTAAGTATTGAGAGGGATAGAGGATCAATCCGGGCTGAAGTAGTCAAGGAAATTTCATGTAGGAAAGTGGGATGGAGCCGAGTCTCGAATGATAGAGACTTGGCTAGGAGAGAAGAGAGTATGCCAGGCATAGATATGCTGCTTCCTCCAACCCTGAGCATATTCTTACTCATCAGTTTTTTCTCAGAGGAACTTTCAGGAGTGATGGTTATACTACCATTTTCTCAGAAATGGGTCCCATGAAGATGAAGTTTCAGTTTTCATCTCTTTTGACACTGTCTCCTCTCCATTTGAGTAATTTTTGTCTGCTGTGTTATGTTCTAGCCTTGGTGTCTGGGGCAGGACACTCTTTCCTTCAAAAGAGATTGTGAATTGAATATTAATCTCTAGAAAAAAATGATTATGAATTGAAGATTCCATGTTAAAATGTATCTGAGGATCCTAAGTATTTTAACTTTTTTAAAAGAGATTGTGAATTTATTAATCTCTAGAAAAAATGATTATGAATTGAAGATTCCATGTTAAAATGTGTCTGAGGATCTTAAGTATTTTAACTTTTTTTAAAGCAAAGATTACATTTAGCTTGCATTTAGTTTGCATTTAGTTCTGCATTTCATATTTTAAAGAAGAAATTGTTAAGCTATAGAGTGTCTAGAGGAGGGCAACTGAGATGGTATGGAATAGGATATTTACCTTAAAGTATTGGAAGGTCTGCCATGTAGGAAAAGAATTAAAATTGTTTTGTTGGGCCTGGAGGGGAGAACTAGGGATGAAGAATAGAAATTGCAAAGGGGCCAGTTTAGGCTTAGGAGAAGGGAAAACTTCCTACAATAGGCTGGGCTGCCTTAAGAGGTAGCAAGCTCCTTTTCCCTGGAGGCCTTTAAGCAAAGGTTGGATGGTTACTTAGCTGTGTTGTAGACAAGATTTTTGTTCAGGAATGGATCAGATACTCTGAAATTCTAGGACTTTCCAGGGTAAGTCAATGATTATCTTTCAGCAGGAAGGTGAATATTGTGAATCACTGAATAGAGATAAGAAAAGAGGTTCCTGAAGGCAGTGAGATAAATTTGGAAAGAGCTCTGGTTTTGAACTCTAACACTGGGTTCAAATTCTGTCTCTAGTTCTTAGAACTTTTGTGACCTTAGGCAAGCCCTTGGACTATTCTGAGCTTTAGTTTCTTTGTCTGTAAAATGAGAAGGTTAGATTAGATCATTTCTAGCTCGAAACAATTATGCAGACAAGAGAAAGAAGAAATGCTAAGAAACAATTCAGACTCCATGTTTTATACTCTTTTTACATCATGCTGGCCCTCAGTGAAAAAAAAATACAAAATGCTTACAAATGTACAGGATAAGTAAGAGTGCTGGGGTCTTCTTTTCTATTTTAGTAACTATAATGCATTCCTTTTTTTTTTCTTTTTGGTGAGGCAATCAGAATTAAGTGACTTGCCCAGGGTCACACAGCTAAATGCATTCCTTTTTTGGTATAGTGTAGTAGAAGGAGCATTGGATTTGAAGTCAGAAGGCCTGCCTTTGAGTTCTAGCTCTGATACTTCCTGGGGCAGGTAAGGCATTTGCCCTGTGGTACCATGCAAGGAAATTAACTTCTTTGAGTTTCATTCTTCTACTCTGCAAAATGGAGCTATAAAATACACCTACCCCAAAAGATTATTGTAAGAAAAGCGGTTTGTAAACCTTGAGGTGCTACCTTTTGTGACCAGATATTAGTAGCAGTAATAGTAGTAACTAAACTGTTAGATGAGATCCAGTATTGAATTTACTTTATAGTGAGTTAAATTATATTCACACCTAATATAGAAGCCAGGCTTTTTGTCTTCAAGGAAATGATGATGTAGTTAAGGTTATGAATTTGACAAAGATAATTCTAAGGACCTGTGAATGACCCATCATTTTCTTTTCTGTTCACAATAGGGCAGTGATTGAAGAGAGATATGGCAAAGATCTGATCAACCTCTGCCGGAAGAAGCCCTGTGGGCAAAGTGAGAATAAGTATGTCCCTTTCCCTCTTTTTTATTTCCCACATGCTAATGTTACCCAGATTTTCTCCCATTCTGCAGCTCTTTTCGACCAGGCAGAGTAGGCCAGTAAAGTCAGGGATCCTGAGCAGAATATGAACTCCAGGTCTCATAGCCATGTGCTCCTTCAATATGGGATGGATCCAAGCTGATGCCTTTTACTGTACCACTTTGTGATCGTCTGTTCTCTGGAGTAATGGTCCATTATTTGGTTCAATGAAAAGGTCAAAGTTGAAATAACAAATTTTACTAAGCAGAGGTACATACAAGTAAGCACAGATTCCCTTGATATTCCCCTATCAAGACACATTCAGTGACTCTCCTCTCTCTCTCTCCACCCTCTAGTAAAACCAGTGGGTATGGTAGTTCAGTGGGTTCTGAGAAGCACCAAACTCAAGACACAGGACCTCAGGGCCCACACCTGGGTTTCAGGTCAGTCTTTCTTGGGGCAGAGAGGCACAGGCTCTGTTTTTATAACATCTTGGCCCACAGTAGATTCCCGAAGTGACTCTTGAGGAAGGACCAAAAGCCTTTGGGTGCCTCCTTCCCTTGATGGTGTTTGCCCTCCACCAAAAGGGAACAAAAAAAGAGCAGCATCAACCAGAGAGAACAGTTAGTTCCTTAGTTATTATTGCAATGTTCAAGATGAAAACTTCTTTATCAAAAAAAAGATGCTTATTTTTAAGTACTCCTTAAAGTTCCTGATGAGGCACTCCAAATTCCACATTTATAGCAATGTGGAATCAAATGTACCTCCAGAGCTGCCTAAGGAAATAAGGGGCAGGGTTTCCTCATTTCAAGAGGTCTGAAACAAACCATCCCCACTTCCTTTCAGAGGATTTCCCTAAGAGGTCAGTGTCTATGGATAGACAATCCCACTTCTTCATTTCCACTCACTGAAACGATACACAAGCCATCCCACATTCTCATATCTGTTACTTCAAATTTTTAGACTTGATCTGTGATTTCAATCAATCAATCAATCAATCAATCAATAAGCATTTATTAAGCATCTACTGCATGCCAGGCACTAAATGCTGATTTCATTGGTGTAGGGAACTCCTTATGAGGAAACACCCTTTGCCAGTACCTATTGGCACCTGATCTGCCACTTATAGTCTTAGAGAGCTGCCTGGGGCCCTAAGACTTTAAGTGACTTGTCCAGAGCCCCATAACTACCATGTGTGAGAGAGGAGCCTGGATAAGTCACTTAACTTCTCAAAGTCCCGGGAATGTCTCTAAGACTATAAGTTGCAGATGTCAGTATGTGTTGATAGAGAGTGTTTCCCCATCAGGTTTTTTTTTGAGTTCAAGATTCATTATATCTTATTGCCTCTTAAGTGCTATTTGAAAATATTAAAAGTATAGTGGACCTGCCAAATCTTCACAAAGAATGATTCATTTATTTGTTTGTTCAACAAGAATTTATTGAACAATTACTATGTAGAAGACACTAGGATTGGTTCTAGGGATGCAAAAACAATTGGTGTTACTATTCCAGGCATATGCAGAGATGTAGATATTATATCAGGTGATGTTACAATAAATGCCAGTAGAATGAAATATTTGCATTAATTATAATAATTTTACAGTCATTGGTGATGTCATATTTAATAGCACCGGACTGGGAGTTGGGACAAGTTCATTTTGTTTCATTGCTAGTTAGCTCTTAGTGAGTGGGTCATGATATCTCTCAAAACATGGCAGTGTTCTTATCTGTATTAATATGGGGGGGGCAAGGAGGTTGGACTAGGTTATTTCCAAGGTCCCTTCTCATCTAACGTTCTATTACTGTATTTCAAAAAATGTTTTTGATGTAGAAAAATCTTAGTACAATGAAAGAATCAGGACAGTGTCAGGGAATCTCCAGAAAATTACAGTGAAGCTGGAAAAGTTTAGCGAGTCTCTTAATTTGGCAAACCCATTAGTCTAGCATTTAAATGATTTGCATGAGAACAGACCAAAAAGATGAGGCCTGAACTCATCATCTTTCCCTCCTAACCTACTGCTCCTCTCAAATTCCCTATTTCTGCAGCTGGCAACACCATTCTTCCATTTATCTAATCTGGAAATAGGAATCTTATCTGAGTCTTCTCTTACCCTCAACCCTCACATTCGACTGGATTTCTGTAGCATCTCTCTTACTGTTTTTCTGCTCTGTGCTCCCGCTGTTCCCACATTAGTTAACAATCTCATTACCTTTCCCTGTGGGCTATTGTAATAATCACCCAAATAGACTCCTGGTTTCTAGTCTCTCTCCTCTCCAGTCCATCCTTCACACAGTGGACATGATAATAGACAGACAGACAGACAGATATGTAGACAGATAGACAGACAGACAGATAGAACATTTATTAAGTGTTTACCGTATGCCAGGCACTGTGCTAGGGATACAAAACCAAGAAAAACAAGACGGTCTCTACCCGACAGCACATAGAAGGGGAACTAAGGAGTGAGGGGTTAAGCGGAGAGTAAGGTATCCATATCAAGGCAATCCCAGGGTAGAGCTATCCTTAGAAGGGCAAGGCAGCAGGTGAAGACCTAGAGCACACCATAGTAAGCTGGGAGTGAAGTGAGTATGTGATAGGGTGGCACAGACTGCAGAGTGTGTGTTAAGGCACTGCTCTGATGATGTCACTTCTGTGATCAAAGGAGAGGCACTCTGAGGTGTACTGGAAAGAACATTGGATATGGAGTCCAAGGACCTAGGTTCCAAATTCAGCTTTCTTATTATTGACCAAATAAATCCCTTCCTTTCTTTTGGCCTTGGAGCTCTCATTTTTAAAATGAGAGGATTAAAGTACATGATCTTTCAAGCCCCTTCCAGTTGGAAATCTGTGTGACCTTTTTGTACTTCCCTGTGGTTCTTCCTCTTTATACCTGCCTCTGATACAGGCCTTGGGCATGAATTCAGCGCTGTGATTGTCGAGGGATTCACAACATGTAGCTTCTGGCCCTGGCTCGCTCTCATGTCTAGCAATGGAATGTTAGCTAGTGAAGCAAAAATAGATTTCATTGGTGAGGGGAACAAAGATAGCGCCCTGATCTCTCCCTTTCACAAGCCAGAGGTCAGCAACAAAACAGTATTATTTTCCAGATAGGGTGGTACTTTTCCATAAGGTACTGTAGAGACCGTATATCTGCCCTAGCTCCTTCAAGTGGGAGATCTTCCTATGTATCTGCTAACATGTTCATTTACCTAATTTACTCTAGTAGCTACTCAGAGAAGCCCACTCATTTTTTTCAGGCCATTAATGAATTCCTTTAGGTAGAAGTTGACCTTATTTTGGCAGTGCAGCAGGTTCCTGGAAACTACCTTGAAAGGAAAGCAAATGTGTAATTTTAATGTCCAAACCTGGTATATCCCTCCTTTCCTGGCAGAGGTGGTAAAAATGTGTGCAGAATGTTGCATATACTATCTGATTTGGTTGGTGTATTGGTTAATTTTGCTGAGGTGCTTTTTTCTCCATTTCTTTATTATTCTTTTTTGCAAGGGGTAGCTAGGGTAAGGGGGAGCATTTTGTGAAAACAAAAAAAAGAGAGATAAAAAAGTTATGTAAAGAAAAGAAAGCAGAAGTCTGAGAAGTAAGGTATTTAATATTGTATGAACAGAGTGTCAGAGTAGAGCTGGAAGACAGGGACTGTCACGTCTGTCATTTAGTCAATAAGCATTTATTAAGCACTGCTACATGCCAGGCACTGTGCTAAGCACTGGAGAGACAAAGAAAGACAAAAACATGGTGCTCCCCAGGAGCCTGCATTCTAGTGGAGAAAACAGTATGCAAACAACTGTGAACATGAAAGATATGTAGCACGTAAATGGGAGGGAGTCTTAGAGGGAAAGCTGTACAGGGAACCAGGAAAGGCTTTGTACAGAATGTGTTTTGACATGTGAGCTGTGTCTTGAAGGAAGCCAGGAAGCTAGGTGATGGGGTGAGGAAGGCGAGCATTCCAGGCATGGACGACAGCCAGGGCAAATATCAGAGTTGGAGTCAGAAGATAGAGTCAGAAGGAGTGCCTTCTTCCAAAAAAAAATAAAAACAAACAAACCACAACCCAAAAATAATGTCAAAAAATCAAGAAGTGGTAGATCGTATTTTAAAAGGACCCTTAGTACTAATTTTCAGTCTTCTTTAAATAATAAAAGCTCTTAATAGGATGTTATCAGAGAAATGTAAGACTTAAAAAAATAATAAGGGTAGATCACAGTAAGAATGAGGGATAACTTTTGAATAGACCACGGTACTTTACTGGTGTCCAGGGGATATCAAAAAAATTGCAGGGAGGGCCTCAACATGTTGTGTAGAGGGAGCTCCAATGGGAGATTTATGGCAGGACATTATTTGGGCCTTTCCAAAACTGTAATCATATCCCTGCATTTGCTTTTTCAGCACCATGAAGAGGGCCCTGGAAGTCTTCAAGCAGCGTAAGTGCTATGTTTAAGCTTATTCTCTGTCTCACAATTTCTGTACCAGACTAGTGAAAGTCTAGTGGTGGGAGTACCTGTGAGGTGGAAAAAAAATTCAGCAGAATTCTTCTGGCTTTGTGATTTCAAGAGAGCTGAGCACCCTTGCGTAATTTCTCTTCATTCTTTTCATTTGTTCATTCAGCAAATATTACCTGGCGATTGACAAACGTGTTAAGTATCTGCTGTGTGCTAGGCAAAGGTGCTGTGTGCCAAATACACAAAACCAAAACTGAGCCAGTTCCTGTCCTCAAGGACCTTATGTTCTGTCTGTTTAATGAGAGGCAATATGATGTAGCAGAAAGTGTCCTAGACTTGGAATCCTGGAGCTCTGGGTTCTAATCCAGCCTCTTTTATTTGCTATGGAGGCAGCTCAATGTGTAGAGTGCTAGGCCTGAAGTTGGAAGACCTGAGTTCCAATCCAGCCTCAGAGACCCATTAGCTGTATGACCTTGAGCAAATCATTTAACCTGTTTGCCTAGGAGGCAGTCAGGTGGCACAGCAGATAGAGTTCCAGGCTTGCAATCAGGAAGATCTGAATTCCAGTACAGCCTCAGACACTTACTACCTGTGTGAGCCTGGGCAAGTCACTTAACTTCTATTTTCCTTAATCCGCTGGAGAAGGAAATGGCAAACCACTCCAGTATCTTCACCAAGAAAACCCCATGGATGGTATGGTCTATGGTGTCATGAAGAGTCAGTGTGACTGAACGACTGAAAAATAACAACGGTAACAGCATACTTTACTGTGTTCCATGGCCAAATCACTTAACTTCTCTGAATCTCAATTTCCTTGCCCATGAAATGAGGATAATAATGCTTAATTATTAATAATACCAACTTCATAGAACTATTATGGAGATCAAATGAAGTAAAATGTATTTAGCATTTTACATACCCTAAAACGTTTTTATAAATGGCCACTAATATTATTATTTGTTGTGGCTTGTTTTTAGCAAAAAGGACTGTCTTTCCCAGTATCGGGGCAGAGTTGGGTGATAACCATCATGGACCTCCTATGGGATCCCACTATCAGTGTCCTCAGTCAGACTATTATGCACAGACTTATCCCCTTGCCCATATTTTCATGTTTGTGCCAGTTCTGCAGACAACTCAGGGAGCTCCCATCAGCTGAGTACATCATACTCTGAGAGCATTTGCTCCCATCCTCAAATATTCTTACACAGGTAAAATCTGGCTAAATTGACTAGCGAAGGTAGCTTTATTGGTGTGTATAGACTTTGAGTGTGTAGAAGGGAAGAGAAGTACTGTGCTCAGGCTTTCCTGATGGATCAGATGTGTTGGATCCTTTTTCTGCTTTCTTAGATGTTTTATTGTTTTCCCAGACTGGATCTAACAATCAGTTTCTCCCAAATTTTGGTGCCATGACTGACGATTCCCTGGTGTTTGCTATCCTTCAAGGACTCTTGTTACTTTCTCTAGCACACACAATTTCTTCCTCCTTAGCCTCTTCTGTACAAACTCATTGTGACACTCAGGTGAAGTCCCACCATCTCACTCTTACTTAGTAAGCTCACCTGTGGATGGTGGATAGTCAGTTTATCTTGCCTCTTAAATCTTGGGGAAACTGAATTCAGGAAGGGGAAGCCCTTGAGAAGTCACCAATTGTCACAGTTTTTAAACTCCCAGTGTGAAGTAACCAATTCTCATTGTTAGTTCGATGGGGATGTTCCTCTTTTCTAGTTCTTTGTGGGCTGAGAAACGGCTTTCTTCCTGATGTAGCCATCTTTGTCTCAATCACAATACCTGCAAGTCAAATAGAAGACAAATCGAGAGGCCTTTTGTAATGTTTTTTTTTATCTCTGGACTATATTGCCTTTGTTGGGGGTGTAAATGAGATCTGGGGCTTCTGAGATTTGCACATGGTGCCAATGAATCACATGTGATAAGAAGAGTCAAATCTGAACTCTACTCTCGGCTGGCATTCACTTGCTATGGGACCTTGAATATGCCACTATATCTTTGTGGGTCATCTTCATTTATGAGGGGGTTATACTTGGTGACTGGGCAAGTAACTTAATCACTCTGGTACTCTGCTTCCTCATCTTTACAAATGAACTAGATGATATCTAAGTCTGCCTGTGTGCTTCACTTTTGGAAGCACTGAGTACCTTTCTCACGAGGTGACTCAGGGGATGTTCAGGTAGGATTAGCGCTTTTGGTGTGAGGGCTTGCTGACCCCTTTTCAGGACTGCCCATCCACCGAATTTGACGTCCACCTTCACCCAGCTCTCCCCTGTGGCTACAAGAAGCTGTATCATGCACAGTGACCACACCCCAATAAACTGACTCAGCAGACGGGCTAAACCAAGTTGAGGGTAACCCACATGCCTCAAACCATCAGTCAATTAGGGGGATGTCCACGCCAAGCATATGAAGACGCCCCTTGGTGGAATGGTTGGATGAGAACAATTTGTTCCAACAGCCATGAAAGCAGCTGAAGCAGGCACTGTGGAGTCCTTAGAGCTTGGTCAGTCATCGAAGACACCAAGGTCATCCACTGCATCCTGGGCCATCACCAGTCATCCTGACTTTTGACTTGTCACTGGACTCCAATGACCAGAAGAGAGAATGAGGCTGATGACTTTGCACGACTCTGCCTCACTTCAGTTCACATGCAAGTCAACGCATCGCCCATGATGTCATTGGTCTTTTTTGAAATAAAAGGCCAAACAACGACAAACTCACTGACCCACTGTTATAGATCTGATACCATTTCAGGTGCTACCCCCGAAGCCTTCCCTGATTCTTCTAGTGGTTAGAGCTCTCCCTTTCCTTAAGTAATCTTAGTTTTGCTTATCTACGTAATGTAGTTTTTCCTCGGTGGAATGAACGTCAGCTTCTTGAGGACTAGGACTGCTTTTCCTTTTGTCTTTGGATCCTCAGCCTCCAGGGCATAGCAGGCACTTAGCGATTGCTTGTCGGTTTTCATTGAATCTGTACCACTTGATATGGTTCTAGAAAGAGCTCTCAACTGGGAGTTTTTTGGGTTCTAGTCGTGGTTCTGCTACCGACTTGCCATGTGATAAGTCCCTTACCTTCTTCATCTGCTAGTGTCTCCATCTGTAACATCAGGACTAGAATGTTTCTGGGGTCTCTTCCAGCTCAACTGTTTTATGACATTCTCACTCCTGAAACTCAACACCTAATGCTTTCTGCTTCTCTGAGTGTGCTGAGTCCTTTTAATAAAGTTGTTATTGACGCGTACCAAGGGTGTATTGACAGTGATTGATCAGCAAGCTTTTACTAGGTGCCTGTTATGGGAAAGCAATCGGGGACACAAAGCTGGGGGCAACTAGATGGTGCCATAGTACACAGAGTGCTGGGCCTGGAGTCAGGAAGACCTGAACTCAAATTAGTCCTCAGACGCTTACAAGTTCTATGACCTTGGGCAAGGCACTTACTTCTATTTGCCCCAGTTTCTTCAGCTGAAAAAAGGAGGATAATAATAGCACCTTTCTCCCAGGGTTGTTGTGAAGAAGAAATAAAATAAAATATGTGTAAAGTGCTCAACCCAGCTATTATTTAATAATAGCTACTAATAACCTTATTACTATTTTAAATTTTAATATAATTTAATTTTTAATATTATTAATAATATTATTAACTATTATTAAATTATAAAGTCTGCCCTCAGGAGACTTTTCCAACAGAGGAGAAAGCACACACATAAATAGGTGTATATATATGTTCAGTTGTTTTTCAGCTGTGTCCAACTCTTCATGACCCTATTTGGGGTTTTCTTGGCAAACATACTGGAGTGGTTTGCATTTCCTTCTCCAGTTCATTTTACAGATGAGGAAACTGAGGTAAACAGGATTAAGTGACTTACTCACAGTCACACAACTGGTAAGTGTCTGAGGTTGCATTTGAACTCAAGAAGATGAGTCTTTCTGACTCCTGGCCTAGTGGTAAATATACACAACATACATACATAAAAAGAAAATACAAGGTAACTTTTGTGGGGAGGCACCAGTAACTGGGAGGGGAGGGATGGGGAGAATAGATCAGGTAAGACTTCATGTGGAAAATTGTGCTTGCACTGGGTCTGGAAGGAAACCAGGGATTTCAAGAGACAGAGGGAAGAAGTGAATGCCTTGCATGCACAGAGGACAGCCAGGGCAATGTTCAAGTTGACTTGCTCACAGTTCTGTTGCTATTTATTGAACAAGCTGGGATTCAGACATGAGCCTCTCCAGATGTTAATTCTTTCTCTAACTGGGGTTCTTTGTGTATTTTGTGTCATGGACTGCTTTGGCAATTTGTTAAGCCTGTGGACCCCATCTCAGAATAATGTTTTTTAAATGAATAAAACAAGATACAAAGGATTATAAAGGGAAACCAATTATATTATATTGAAATAACTTGTGAAAACATTTTTTTAAAAAGTTCTTGGATATCAGATTAAGAGTTCTTGTTCTATGCCATGTCCTTTCCAGTAGTGAATGAATTTTATGCCATTGAATTTGTGTCAAGCATTTTCACATGGATAAATTAAGATGAATAAATTAAAATTTGGATTCATGTCGACATTGGTTTCTTTCTTCTCCCTTTTGCAGAAATAGACAATGTAGGACAATCTCATCTCCAGTTGGCACAAACTCTACGGGAAGAAGCTAGGAAGATGGAAGAATTCAAGGAAAAGCAGAAAATACAACGGAAAAAGGTTAAGTTTTCATATTAGCAAAGAAGCTAATTCTCCTGGTAATAAATGTTGTGGCCCATTCTTGTCTTTAGACATTTTGGGTAGTTCATTTCCAGGCCCAAATCCACCCTTACCCAGTCCTTAGTCATTTTTTGAGAGAATATTGTTAATTTTGCAAGCCATTTGAACTTCTCTCCTTAAAAACTACAAACACCAAATTTCTCTGTATCTGGAATATGCTCCAGAGTGCTCTGTACACAATGTCCAGCTCCTTTCATGAATTTTCTTTCATAAATTTCCTCTTAGAATCAAAAAGTAAATCTTTTGTGTCTTCTTTAGAAAGTCCCAAGTTTATTTTAAAATTACATAATTATTTGTGTCATAATAGGTACTTTGTTGTACCTCTTCCTCATTCAGATATCTTATTCTTTTTTTTCTTTAAATACTCTTTGGAGAAAAATGAGTCAATGCTAACTTCTCTTTTTAAAAATACCTTTTCTTTCACTTCCTAGAAAATAGGTTGTAGAGAGAGATCTTTGCCCCCTTAGTTATAAAACCAAACTAGGTGTGGAGTGAGGGAGACAAAGAGAGATCTTTCCAGTCTTTTACTAGAGCATGGGAAAAAGAAACTCCCACCATCACCAAAATGTCTACCCTAAAGATATTCTGGCTGAAGTAACAGTATCAAGTCTTAGGCAGAGGCCTAGAGAGAGATCATGGGCTTCCCAAAACTGCAGCAGAAATAGACCAGGTATGACCAGATTAAGAGCCATTCCAGGGTCAACAGAAACCTCACTGAGAGTAAGATTCCCACTTGTGTAAGAGAAATGAATGCTTCTGGTATCCAGACCACTGTTGGAATGGGTTCATAAAGGCAAACTGAAATGGAGAGGTAGACAGCTATTCAGATCATTTGATCAAGGTTCATGGCCAATCTGGATTTTTTTGGTCTCCAAAACTCTATCTCCTAAGTAGTAAAGGTATTCTTTGATCAAGAATTACTCACATAATGAGCTTAATTCTTTTTTTCCTATTTCTTTTTAAAATTAGTTTCTTAATTTAATTTTTAAGATTATTATATAAAAATTAACTATTTCTCCACCCCACTTCATCCCTCCAAACCATTGGAAAAAGAAAAGGAAAAACAAAGTCTTCCCAACCAATATTCATAATCAAGTATAAAAAAATCTTTCATTGGCCATGTCCAAAAGAAAGAAAAATAAATATCTCAATCTGCATCCTGAGTCCAGCATTTCATCATGGCTCTTCTACAGTAGTGGTTGGTCATTACATTGATCAGAGTTCCTAAAAATGAGCTCAGTTCTTTCATTATTTGTCCTGTGTGGACAAAATATCCTTATAAGAAGTGTTTAATAGAACCAGAAGGAGAACCATTGACCTTATTTGATGTAGTCTTTGACTCTTGAAAATTAGATTAGTTGCTCTATTCTGCCCTTCCCCCTCACTATAATGTCACCCCATACACACCGTAATGTAGTGGAAAGAGCACTGGATTTGGAATCAGGAGGACCAAGACACAAGTCACAATTCTGACAGTTGATAGTTGTGAGACTCTGGCAAGTAACTTCTATGAGCATTGGTTCCATTATGGGTAAAATAGTCCTAAAAATATTCATACAATCTATGCCACAAAGTCAGGAGCAAAAGTTAAAGTGTAAAGCTCAAAGTGCTTTAGAATTGTGAATTATTATGTTACAGAGATTTTCTATTGTAGGTGCCAGATAAAAAGGGGGCATATTGAAAGCATGGCATAGTGCAGAGAGAAGAGCGTCAGGGGAGTCAATATCCAGTCTTCATTCTGCCATTAACTAGCTGTGTGCGCAAGGGTCTGTCACTTCACTTAGTCTCAGTTTTCTCATCTGTAAAATGAGAGTATTTAACTAGATGATGCCTAAATTCTCTTCCCATTCTACCATTTCCTGATGACAATGTGGGGACACTTTGTGACTTGACCCAGGTTGCAGAGGTAGTAATAGTTTTAGTTTGGGTGGCATTAATAAGTACTGATAGAGTTAGGAGAAAGGGGGGATCACTGTGGGATAATGGCGTTTACCATTACTTTGAATTTGCTGAGCACTTCAGTTTTACATTACTCAACACAAACCAACATTTGTTAAGTACCTGCTAGATGCAAGGCACTGTGCTAGATGCTAGGGACAGAGAATAAAACAGCCTCTGGATTCAAAGAGCATCAGTCTTATGGGGAGATATAGCACGAACCCAGATGAATGTGATACAAGATAGACAATAGGATGGACCGTGATAAGGACTATCCTAACAAAGTACTCTAGGAAAATTAGAAGAGGAAGAATTCAGCTTAAGACAGGATGATCAGGGAAGGTTTCATGGGAAAGATGGTACCTGAGCTCAGTTTTAAAGGAAGAGAAGGATTTCAAAAGTCAGAGAGAAAGTGTGAAATAAGTGTAATCTAGGCAGAGAGACATGAGGAAATTTGTGACAACTAGTTGTTTGTCTGGAATTTCTTGTATTGTACATACAGCTTCTTTCTTTCCCCCAGATATATTGGTCCTGGAGGAGGAGCTGACATACTCCTTGCTCTTCACTACCATTTCCAGACCTTCCTTTTGTGGTTGGCCTTCATTTTGGAGGTTCAATCTAGTGAGATATATCACTCTATCTAGATGTTAGAGGCAGTTATCTATTGGCCTCAAGATCGTTCTTCCTCAATTCTGAAGGAGTTTAGTATCTGGCTTGGAGTATTCCTCTCCACTCTCAATCCCTGACTCCCCAGCACCTTTGATCTACTCTTTCACTCTACCTCAACCACATGTAGTACAGTAAATTTTAATTAACTGGCTCTCAGAAAAATTAACATGGGCATGACATGCTTTTAAATTTAATATACATTATTAACTTTTTTCTCCATCCCTTTCTTAAATCTAGATAACCAACAAGGCAATAAATCAAGCCCTGATTTGTAGTGTTTGCCAATTTCCAAGGTATAAATGCTCACACTCAAAATTTAATGGTTGGATCTGGCTCCAGCACACCCCTGGCACACCTTTAAGATTAGCATTATCCACAAGTGTTCTACTTTTGTAATTAGGAATTCTGAATTTCCTCTACACACCCATAACCTTCTTTCATCTCTATGTTTCACTCTTTCAAACATATTTTTTGTCTTCACCGTGACCTCAGTCCTTCTATCCCTTAGTAATCTTCTGTGCCATCACCACTGATCTGGCTTCATTTTTCTCCCTTTCGGATCATGACACAACAGTTAACCAGTTAAATGTTACATTATCCTCTATGCTCAAATCCCTTGCTCCTTTGTTGTATAATGGCTCATGCTGTACCAGACCCAGACTCTCTCTTTTCTTATGAAAAAGTGGCCCCCATGTCCTACTTCTTATCAAGTTTAACACCTTTACTTGTATCTTGATCGTATCCCTTCCTATTTCTTCTGATTACCCTGATAATCATCTCCATTCTCTGTAATCTTTAATCTTTCTAAATGTAGTGGCTTCTTCCCTACTGCCTACAAAAATGCCTAGATCTCCCCCATCTGCAAAAAAAAAAAATGTCCCACGTGAATCTTCCATTTCCTTAAGATGTCATCCTGTAGTCAGTCTCTCTGTCTCTGTCTCTCTCTGGAAGAAAAACTATTTTCATTTGTTGCCTCTACTTTCTCTCCCCTTACTCATAGTCTCAGACTTTTTCAATCTGGCTACATTCTCATCACTTAATTGAAACTTCTCTCTCCAAAGTTCTCAATGATCTCTTAATTGTCAAATTTGATGAACTTTTCTCAGTCTTCCTCCTTCTTGAACCCTCTGCAGCATTTGGCACTATTGCCATCCTCTCTTCCTCGGCATTTTATCCTCCCTTTAGGAATATCTTCTTATCTCCTCCTGGATAGTTTCTTCTTTCTGGGTTTTCATGACATTACTCTCTCCCCTGTCTTACCCCCTTACTATTGGTGCTCCCTAAGGCTTTGTCCTGGACCCTTTTCTCTCAATAACAGAGATTCAAAGGGAAAAAAAAAAGAATTTTCCACAACTACATGAATATCTAGAAGAAAATATCTCTTAAGCAAGAGGTAAAAGTGAAATAAAAGCTCTGGAGGAAAGAATTAGAAAAATAACTAACTTAGAAGAGAGAGTATTAAATCTTATCCAAAAACTGGAAGCACAGGACTGTTGCCTTTCTTTGTATTGTCAGTGCTTAGCACAATGCCTGGCACACAGTATGTGTTTACTACATGCTTATTGAATGACTTACTAAAAACCAGTTTTTAAAAAGGCCTTGACGCTGTATTTCAAGAAATAATAAATGAAAACTGCCCAGATCTATTAAAACCTGAGGGTACAGAATGAAACATTTTTTAGATATGAACAGTGTGGAAGATTTGTTTTATTTCAGTATGCATATTTGTTACTAGGGTTTTCTTTTTCTTTTTTAATTGGGGTGGGGAGGTGGGAGATAGAGAATAGATTTTTTTTTAATTGAAAAAAAGTATAATTTTTAAAAAGAAGCAGAGGACAAAATAACAAAAGAAAGAGTCCACTAGTCACCTCCTGAATTGTGGAATTGTGGTTTGTCCTTTGGTCTTAAAGAGGACCATGGCATCAGGAAGATGATGACTTGCAAGTGAATTGGTTTTGGGTTTTTTTTTCCTTTTTTTGGTGAGGCGATTGGGGTTAAGTGACTTGCCCAAGGTCACACAGCTAGTAAGTGTTATGTGTCTGAGGTTGGATTTGGACTCAAGTCCTACTGACTCCAAGGCCAGAGCTCTATTCATGGCGCCACCTAGCTGCCCCAAGTGAATTGGTTTTAAGTGAGGTAGGACTATACAAAGTCACCAGCTTCACTTTCTCCTCCAGAGCCATCTGAGTCCAATGGCCAGATATAGATCAGGGCAACTGGAGATGGCCCAGGATGCGGTAGAAGACCTTGGCCTTTTCAAGCCAAGGCCTTTCTAAGTTCTTACTTTGACTGAGGCAATGCCCATTCAGTGATTAGGTCTGTGTTTCTGATATAGGAAATCTAGATTTGGAGTCCAAGGCCTCGAGTTCAAATCCTAGCTCTGATGTGAATTGACTGTATGACCCTAAGCAAGTCCCTTAACTTGTCTGGACTTCAGATTTGTCACCTCCTGAAAGAAACTACAAAAGGAAATGTTTCAGGAATGTACAAAAAAATACTTTAAGAATCTGAAAAGTAGTTCAAATAGAAGGAATTACAGACAGGCTCACACAAGAGCTGAAGGCTTGTACTAAAAATGAGAGAAGAATTCAGAATACAGTAATATTCCAAAAGGCAAGAGATACAGGCTTACAACCAAGAATAGCTTGCCCTGCAGTGCTGAGTATATTCCTTGGTGGGAGAAAATGGATTTTTAATGAAATAGAGAACTTTCAAGTATTTCTGATGAAAAGACTATAGCTGAATAGGAAATAGGGAATATAAATACAAGAGTCTGGAGAAACCTTGAAAGGTAACTTTAATTGTAAATTTAATTTAATTAATTACTTGAAAAAGATAAAGTAATTTGAAGGAGCTGTATAATGATGTAATGATAGCATTCTAATGGGGGAGAAGAAAAAAATGTCCCTTCAGAACTTTAATGTCTTCAAAGGGTATTTATTGTGTATTTCAGTAAGAAAAACCAAGGTCTTGAGCAGTATTAGTTCTATTCTTAGGTTTTAAGAGAAAGAGAAAGGAGGGTAAAAGGAAGAATATACTATTGTAGAAAGAAGGAAAATGAGGGTGGAAATTGCTGCTTCTCATAATTAAAGTGTGTGAGGTGAGGAATATACAAACATGTAGAAGGAGATGGGAAGCAACATCAGAAAAACCTTCCTCATCAGAAATGGACAAAGAAAGATTTAATACACAAAAGTTTGGTGTAGAAATACATCCAACTCAACATGGAAACAAGTAGAGATAGGAAGAGGAGGCATTTAAGAGGGGGGATAATACCAGGGAAGGAATAGTCATAAGCAAATCAAACTTTCTGTTCCTGAAGGGGTGACTAAAAGGAAGGAAAGAAAAGATAAAAGCAAAGAACTAGATCTAAGGAGCTGCCTTAGATTGCCTCTTAGACAACTGGGGAATGGCTGAACAAATTGTGGTGTAGAAATGTAATGGAGTATTATTGTGCCGTTAGAAATGATACATGATTTCAGAGAATCTTGGGTAGAATGAACAAATATAGTTAAGTGAGCAGAACTAGGAGAGCAATTTATACAGAGACAAAAACATTGTAAAAGAAAGCAACTTTGAAAGACTTCAAAACTCTAAAGATTACAATGACCAAATTTGTCTCCAGAGCACCTATGATGAAACTTCCTGGAAGAGAGGTGATGGATGCGAAGTGTAGAAAGAGAGATACAGTTTTGAACATAGCCACTGTGAGGTTTCCTTTTCCTTGGTTAGGCTTATTTGATAAAACTTATTATTTTTGATTTTTTCTTTTGGTTAATGTTGAGAGGAAGATATTAATGTTAATGTTTGGTTAATGTTGAAAGGAAGATATTAATGTTAATGTTTGGTTAATGTTGAAAGGGTAGCAATGGTGATGTCAAAAAAGAAGGCTATTGTGACAGTTTTAAAAATGCACAGAAGAGACAGAAAGAAGTTCAAAAGGAAGCAAAGAAAAGAAATGCAGTTTTGAAAGTAATTTGTAAACCCATATTAGGACTTTCAGAGATAAAATTCCACAGGGGCATTTTGTTAAGCTAGTGAACACTTGAGCCATTGTTGCCCCCACTGTTCTATACCAATTTTAGTTCAATAAAACAGATGTTAACTTTGCAAAAAAAAAAAAAGAAAGTAATTTGTAAATTTCATTGTTTACTTAAAAATAAAACCCAAGATGTGTGCAATGGAGATTCACAATGTTTTATCAGAAGTTTAAGAAGGTTCAAGAAATTCTAAATTTTAGTTCAAGGACACATCAACCACACAAGACAGTACAGAAAGCCTGAATTATTGAGGAGACACAATATAAAAGGTAGATGATGATGGAAACAGATCAGGGCTATTGGAACCTGGGTGGAATTCAGCTCATCCCACTTGAGTCCCAGAAGGAATGGTATACCCAGAAGAGTGCTTCCCCAAACCAGTCTGGTGGACTGTTATAGGACTCTTGTCTGGGTTGGGCAGTACTAGGCATAGGAGGAAGGAAGCTCTGGGTGGTGACTGGTTTTGATTCATGCTAGTGGGGTTGGGGAGGGAGCACACTTGAGGACTTAGCAGCTAAGTTGACGATCTGTTACCATTGATCTCATTCTGACAAGGTGACTTAGAGCTTCTTGTTTATCAGATTGGGAAGCACCATGGTTTCATATAGAATTCTTTTTCTGTATCTGTTGTGTATGGAAATGGTCTTTTTAGCATATGTCTAAGTTCAAAATTTCTTAAAAAAGAACAGAACTCCAGTGGCCCCTATTGCTTCTTAGCTCAAAACCAAACTCTTTTCTTTGACATTTAACATTCTTCACAATCTGGTTCCAATCAAGCACATTACATATGAATCCTCTTCATACATTCAGTGATCCAACCAAACTGGTCTTGCTGTTTCTATACATTGATTTCCATCTCTTATCTCCATTCCTTTGCATAGGTCATCACCCATGCCTGGAATGCCCTTCCTCTTCACCTCCAAATAACAGAGTCCCTAGCTTGCTTCAAAGACTGGCTCAAGTGTCCCCTTCTATATGAGGTCTTTCTTAATCCCTCCAGAGGCTAGTGCCTCCTCCCCTTGAAATTAATTTGTATTTATAGTGTGTGTTTGTGTGTGTATGTATGTATATATGTATACATACATGTGTACACATACACATATATCACATATGCTTACTTGGAGCCACAAAGACACAGAGTTTAAGTACTGGCTGAGATCCTTACTAGTTGTGTGATCCTGGGCTAGTCATTTGATCTCTCTCAGCCTCAATTTCTTCATCTTTAAAATGGGGGTAATAATGACATTTACCTCACAGGGCTGATACAGTGAGATAATTTATGTAAACAGATTTGCAAACCTAGAGCACTATGTATTTATTGCTATGGGTGCACTTTGTTTCCCCTAATAGATTGTAAGTTTCGTGACCATAGGAAACTTTTGTCTTTGTATCCTTGGTTCCTGGCATGGTGCCTGGTATATAGTAGGTGCTTAAAAATGCTTATCAGTTGAGTGATTGACTGAAATGGAGTGGTATAAGAAAAGACTAGATAGGTGGTTCAGAGATAGATAGACAGATATATTTTATCTAATAGGTCATAGGGAACCACTTATGGTTCTTAAATAACGAACTGGCATGGTCAGCCCTATGCATTAGGAAGATTAATTTGGTAAGTGTTTGAAAGCACTATTGAGAAGGGGAAGGAAGAGTAGTTGGATTATCAGTTCCTAGGAAAATAGGATTGTAAGCTTTCAGTCTGGAAGGTCGTGTAGTCTAACCTCCTCCTTTTAGGATTAGGGAAACTGAGGCCTAGAAAGGTTGCCCAAAGTCATGCTGGGGAAAAGTGGCAGAGCAGAAATTCAAATCCAAGTCCTTCCCTCCTTCAAAGTTTTTCCTAAATGAATAAGTTCATTGTCAAAAAAAATGTCTAAAGTCTAAAATCAACCTTTTTTCCAACTTAGTATGTAGACTATGATGATAGAACGAGTGAGAGCTGCCTGTTGGCAGCATTAATTGTGAGGAGAGGAAGGACACGAGAGATCCTTGTGACAGCAGAGCCAACAGGACCTGGCAGCTCACTGGGTGTGAGGGAGGAGGGAGGCTGGAGGAGGAAGGATGGAGGACGGAGGAGGGAGGAGGAAGAGTCAAAGAGGACTTGGAGATTTCAAACCTGGATCGCTGGGAGTGGGGTGGTGCCATCAGGAGACACAGGAACATTGGAGAAAAGGATGAGTTTTTGTTAGAAATTGGATGGAAGTACCCCAGACATTTGCAGAATTTCCTTTCCTATAAATCTTCAGCTATAAGAAAAATATTTAGTTGGGAAGATTTAAGCATGACATCACTTATGGGTATAGGGGAAGAAGACTAGATGATCCCTCAAAGTTTTTTCTAGTCCTAATATTTTAGGAACACAAGGCAGCAAGGTTGGGATTAAAAGATGATTTGTAAAGTGGCTTTTTGATTTGTTGAAAGGCAGAAGGACAAAGGTACTTTCATGCTATATTAATTTCAGTTTTCTTTTTCTATTTTGATTATTAATTATTTTTGTCATTATTATTTTGACTATTGTGATTATTAATTTTATGATTAATTATTAATTGTGTTTTTGTTGTTCCTTCTACAGATAGAAGTTTTGATGGATAACATGCACAAACAAAAACAATTACAGTATAAGAAAACTATGGAAGTGAGTAATCTTTTGTTTTTGTCTTTTAAAGATGAGCAATCTTGACGTGAGACATGGCTTATTGTTGGGTATAGAGACACTGCCTTTGAGTCAGGGAAACCTGGGTTGATGTCCTGCCTCTTACACTTACTGTTTGGATGACCCTAAGAAAAACACATACCCTTTCAATGCCCTGGCATCTGATTCTCTAAGACTTATAAGTGGAGAAGAGATTTGTGCCAATGTGCACGAGGAGAGTTTTTTCCTGATGGGAGGTTCCCTGCGTCAATGAAATCACAGGTCTAGTTACTCATCCCACCCCCAGAATTATTGATATATTCTTGAAGTCCTGTGGCATACCTAAAAATGTTTTATTCTGAACTTGTTTTCCATTTGAACTAAAATTTTAAAATTAATAAAGGTATTCATAGCCTTAGATGTCAGATGAGTCTAGTAGGAAGATCAGGAGCCTGGCTTCTAGACTTGGTTTTGTCACTAGCTAGTTGTGACTCTGGGAAAGTAACTGAAGTTCTCTAGGCTTCCTTTTCTTCATCTGTGGAGTGAGGAGGTTGGACCAGGTAACCTCTAAGTGCTCTTGCAGCCCTCAGCCTCTGATCTTGTGATCTGTTTCCCATCTTTGATATCACAGATAGGAAGACTCTAAGAATTGGCTAATACAAGAGATCTGGATGTACAGGCATGGGAGACAGAAGTTTCCAAATAGAGAAGTTCTAGATAGACAAAAGTAGCAGTAGGAAGGGACATGTTTAGGATAGACATCCTGTTTCAAAAGAGACTTATGGCTGTAAGAGAGCCCCCTACCCGAATCTAGAGTTTTTGAACTACTGTGGGGCAGTTTAGATGATGACTCAAAATCCACTTTGGTATATTTCTTAGTTGGATCTTCTTTACCTCTTTCTTCTACCTCTAAAATTTTATGAGTATGTCTGTACTGCTTCAGTTCATATAGCATATGCCTGGCTCTTCCAGGTTCAAAATTCGATGTTTCTGTGCCTGTAGAGATCAGTTAGGCTTAGAATCATAAAATCTTAGAGTTGGAAGAGCTCTTATGGGTCATCAAGTCCAGAGTCTCACTTAGCACAGGAATTCATTCCACAATATTCTTGACAGATGATTATCTGGTCTCTGTTTGAACACTTTTTAATTTCACGGAGTTCGTTGCCTTAAAAACCAGCTCATTTTATCATTGGAGAGCTCTAGCTTTCAGAAAGTTTTTCATTACAGTTAGTCAACATGTAATTTTATGTAACCCATACATTCATCTTACTTCTGTCCTCTGAAGCAACAGAAAACAAGCCTATCCTCTGCCTTTTGTATGACAAAAATATGGTGGGAAGTTGCAAAGAGGCAAATAGAGGCTTGATGCTAGGAAAAGCCCCCTAATAGGGAGAACTGTCCACAAGTGGCATGGACTGCCAAGGGAGATTGTGGGTTGCCACTTCTTAGAGGTCTTCAAGTAGAGGTTGCCAGGTATGTTGAGTGGGGGTTCCTTTATGGTATGGACTGGATGAGATGGTGACTAATGTGCTTTCTAGAACTCAGACTATTTGATCCTGTGGCATCCCGTCAGTATTTGAAGATGGTTTTCATGCATGATCACTACATTGTAGGTTTTGCTTAACTGCTCTACTTTATTATAAGGAAAGTTTCAATCGCAGGGAGAGTGTTGGGATCTTTTTCAGAAATGTCTGTGATATATAAAAAAAGGCATCAATAAAATGCCTTTGAAATAAAATACATAATTAAAATTACTTTTCGTTTAAAAATAAATAAATAAAAGTCAATTGATGCACCTTCGTGAGGTTAACAATCAGTAAATAAAAAAAGCTGTAGACACACATATGGAATTGTTTCTAATCATGCAGTTTTTTTATTTACTGGTTTCCACTTACCTGCTCATTTTAAAATGTTCTTTTCTTATGCTCTTTTTCATATATTTGAGTAGCTGTACTTGCATTGGAAGCAAAAATAAAAAATTATTTTTAAATTTTTTATTGTTTAATTTTTAGTTTTCAATAATCACTTCCATAAGTTGAGTTTTAAATTTTTCTCCCCCTCCCTCCCCTCTTCCTTCCCCAAGATGGTGTGCAATCTGATATAGGCTCTACATATACATTCCTATTAAACATATTTTCATGTTAGTCATATTGTAAGGAAGAATTAGAACCAATAGGAGGAACCACAAGAAAGAGGAAACAAAACAAAACAGAAGAAAAAAAATAGCAAATACTCTGCTTTGATCTGCATTCAAACTCCATAGTTCTTTCTTCTTTGTGGATAGCATTTTCCATCATGAGGCCTTTGGTGATGTCTTAGATTCTTGTATTGCTGAGAAGGGTTAAGTCTATCAATATTAGTCATCACACAATGTGGCTGTTACTGTGTACAATGTTCTCCTCATTCTGCTTACTTCCCTTAGCATCAGTCCATACAAGTCTTTGCTGGTTTTTCTGAAGTCCACTTGTTCATTGAAAAAAAACTATATTTTTTAAAAATAAAAAAGAGGAAGCTTTTCACGATCTCACAAGCTTTCTTTATTCCAGGCTAAACACCCATGAATCATTAATTTGTCCTTTAGATACCACAGTTTTTGTGCTCTTCACTGTCTAGTTCATTCTTCTCTGGAAATGGCCAGATTTATCTAGTAAATCTTCTGAAAGTGTAACCTCCATGGGGCAGCTAGGTGGCACAGTGGATAGAGCACCGGCTCTGGATTCAGCAGGACCTGAGTTCAAATCCAACCACAGACACATAACACTTACTAGCTGTGTGACTCTGGGCAAGTCACTTAACCCCATTGCCTAGCAAAAACAAACCAAAAAAAAAAATTTAACCTCCATAACTGGACACAGTTATAACAGTTCCATATATGGTTTGACAAATTACATTTTACAGTGGAAACTTTACCTCCATTGATAAGGATGATATATTTCTAACAATGGAAGAGAAGGCAAAATTCACTTTTTAGTAGCTCTTTTGTACTCTATTAAGGCTTGTATTCAACTAAAATCCCCAGATCTTTTTCGCATTAACTTCTGCTTAATTGGGTTTCCACTTATGTACCTAGGAACTTGGTTTTTTTTAACCTAAATGTAAAACTTTATGTTTATCCCTATTCATTTTAATATTGCAATTTGTGCCCATTGTTCTAACGAGTCTAATCCATTGCAAATCTTTTACATATTAATTCTGTCTCATAATGTATAGTTAACCCTCACAATTTTGGAGAAGGTAAGAAATGGGGGGAGTATTTCATTATATACAAGACACAATATCATTAGGAGAATACTGGTATTAACCAAATGAAGTAATATTTGTAAAAAGTGCTTAGCAAAGTACCTAGTACATAGCAGGCACTTGATAAAAGCTTACTTCATTTCAGCCATGTATCTAACAAAAGGGATATTATTATGCCTTCTATATATTGGAAAATCATGCTTTCTTGTCGTACATCAAAGATCTTGACAAAAAAAATGTTGGAGCAGAGAAGACTGAGAGCCCTGCAGCACACAACTAGAAACCTTCCTCTAGTTGAGGTAGATAATTATCTGTAATCTGTGTGTTAGAGGTTTTTCTAACATGAAGGGATCATATTCATTTTGGAGATTTTCAAATTCTTTGGCTCCCAGCCCCCACTGTATAAGGTGATCTGACATCATCTTATATACAGACATCAACTTTACTTAGAAAAATATAATTTACAAAAGAAAGAAAATATAATTGAAAGGACCCTGTGATCCCTATATACATCTAACACACCAGATGCCTTTTCCTAGAACCATCAATATTTTGGGGATAGCAATGTTACACTCAGCTTGTCCACTGTTACTATGAGACCAATCAACCTTCTTTACAGGTCATCTGCCTTCCTGATTTTTTTTTTAATTGTAGGGTGCCTTTTTATAAAGCATGTGCAGATAGCCTCTGCTGGCTGTTGAGCTAGAACAGCTAAGAACCTTTTTTTCCTTTGTTTTTGCTAGGCAGTGGGGTTAAATGACTTGCCCAGGGTCACACAGTTAGTAAGTGTCAAGTGTCTGAGGTCAAATTTGAACTAAAGTCCTCCTGCCTCCAGGGCTGGTGCTTTATCCACTGCGCCACTGCCCCCACCCTTTTCTTTCTTTCTTTCCTTCTTTCCTTCCTTTCTTTCTTTTATTTTTGAAAACCTTTTAAAGAGGAGACAACCTCTGACTGTGGTTTTTTATCAAGAAGGCAGAGAATAACTGTGCATATTCTGTACAAAGTTAGGTGACATTGTAATAGCTCACATTACATAGCACTTTGAGGTTTGCAAATTCTTTCCTCACAATAGCCCTGAGAGTTGGTTAGTAAGTACGATTATCCTCAGTATATATATATCATGAAACCAATGCCCTGAAGAGGTTCAGTGATTTATTTGTGGTCAGATAGCTAGTTAGCATCTGGTTTAAATGCAGGTCTTATAAATCCAACTTCTCTACTCTTTCCATCACGTCACATCGCTTCTGGTGTGCGAGGCATCATGGGCAATAGGCTTAAAGGCGGCCTACACCTGCCATACATCTTTCCATTCACTTCCGGGTCCCCCTAATTTGTAATTATTCTGAAATCATGGTATTCCATAATCTACAAATATATAGCATCACTGAGAAAATGCTGGGGTTAACCATATGTACTACAATTAGAAGATTATTGTGTCATAAGAAATGATAAACTTAAGGATATAAAGAAATATGGAGTAATATGGGCATATTTATTTTTTTATTTTTAAATATATTTTATTTTATTCTTTATGGGTTTTTTTAAATTTTTTTTTCCATATGCTTTTGAGTTGAAAATTTTTTCTCCCTTTTTCTCCCCCCCCACCCTCCCCAAGACGGCGCACAATCTGACATAGGCTTTACATTTACATACCCATTAAACATATTTTTACATTAGTGAAGTAAGTAAAAATTAAAACCAATAGGGGGAACCATCAGAAAGATGAAACAAAACTCAACTGAAGGTAAAAATAAGTGAGAACA